TGAGCCATAATTTACCAGATCCTGGTCTATCTGGTCTCTTTGCTTTTATCCTCACTCCGACTATTATCCTTTCTCAACACAGCAGCCAGAGGAATCCTTTTAAAACACAGGTCATAACATGTTACTTCTCTGCTCAAAACTCTGCAAAGGCCTCCTTTCTCGATTAGAATAAAAGTAAGAGCCCTTTCCATAACGTATAAGACCCTGTGTGATCTGGCCCCAGTCATATCCCTAAAGCTCCTATCTTATTACACTCTCTCCCTCATCCACTCTGCTGCAGCTGCACTGACCTCCTTGTTGTTTCTCAAATAGTCCAGGCACACTCAAGACTTGGGGCATTTGCACCAGGTGCCCCCTCTTCCCCCAGGTGTCCATATGGTCAGTGCTCTTACCCTCTTAACTTTGCTCAAATGCCACCTCTTCAATAAAACCAATACTGGCCACTATTTGAAATTATAACCTTCCTCCATGACTCTCAATCCCCCTCACTCTATTTTTCCCTTTTACTTTCCAAAATTTTGCCATCTAACATTAAAAAAATAACTTACTAATTTCTACTTACTGCATTCCTATTTCTCCTAGAATACAAGCTCCACAAGGCCAGTGATCTTTGGCTTTTATTCCACGTAACCTGAGACCCTAGGGCAGTGCATGGCATATTTTTTTTCAAAAAATATTTGTTGAATGAATGGAATCTGTGTGGCCTCCCTCAAATCCCAGAGATGTAGTGAGTCACTCTATTCTGTATATTACTTTAACTCTTTGTTCATGCTACTGTTTTAGTCCTCTTTATCCTGATTTATAATTATTTATGTATCTCTCTTGCCCATTACAGTGTCATGATCTTCTTGGACATTTTCTATATGTATATTTGCAGTAAGTAATACAGCCTGTCACACAGCAAAAGGACAAATAATGCCAACTTAATGAACATACAGAGATGCCGTATGTGCGTAGTTCTCTGACACCAAATCATTAACTCTGCAAGTCAGTTATTATTTTAAAAGTCTCTCCTGAACCCCAGCTCTAGATACAAGTATATACACACACTACTAATTGAGATAATTTAAAACTATTTTTCACATATTTGCTTAATTAACTTGCAGTGACCTCTGAAAAAGCACTGGCCTCTGATGATTATAAGAGGTAGTTTTCTGGCATAGACACCAAAGCATCAAAGAGTCAGCTAGAACTAAGGAAAGCAATAACACAACTGGTTTTAATTACTCATGACAGGCAGCTGAGTATATCTGACACAGGTCTTCTCCCCAATACATCACTCAAAACAGGCCAGTTACAGGAAATGGTGGAGAAAGAAAAAAAAAAGCCAGAATGGGGCCAAAATGTGTCCACAATATAAAGCAGATCATCTTTCACGTGGATGACCTTGTTCATTTTGTGTTATATTTTTACGATGGTCCTGAATGCATAAAATTGCTGACCCCTTAAGACTTGGTATGCTTCTATACTGATGCTGAGGAGGAGTGGCTCAGGTTCTCAGAAGAGGAGATAGGTGACGACTGTGCCTATTCATGAGTCACTGTGTAAACCAAGGGGTCCTCCAAAGTTAATCTAGAATGGCAGAGGCATGTTTGTGATTAATTCATCTGTGAAGCAGAGGTGAGCAGCTTCTACTTCTCCTCAACATTCACAGAAGGATTAACTCTTCATCTAAACCTGGTTGGTTCTTTGGACTGGTTGCTTAGCAGGTAACAGGTGAGGATTCACCTGTGAGTCACTTTGTTAACACCTACTCACAATTTTAACATATCTCTCTTCCGAGGTACACGCTTCCACCTAATGAAACGATGGGCTTCAGTTGGCCATATCCTTGAGTCGGCTCCTGTTGAAAAAAGAGATTTCCTAATCAGGCAGGATTTTACCGCAGGACCTAATTTTCTTGCTAAAGTCTCCTCCCAGATGCTTGTATGATCCCTGAGCTCACTGCCTTCTTACTTCTGTGCATTTCCTGGTTCTTGCCAGCTTGCACTGTTTGATCAGTCTTTTGTCCAGTCTTGCACATTCCAGTGCTCGTGGAACTTCAGAAGCCCTTGGTTTTTCCTGCTGCTTTGCTGATTCCCGTTTGACGCCTCCAGAAACAGAGACTGCCTCCTGAGTCTTTCTACTTTTATACTTTCAATAAAAGTTGGAGTCCCTGCAGTGTGCTAGGGCATATGCTAAAGACTGAGACTCTAACATGAATGCTCCATTAAGAAGCTCAGAATTTAATAGAGGAAATGGCAAGTAAGCAGGCAATTACAATGCACATGATAAGTACTGTAATACGTTAAGCAGAGGGTATGAGGGTAGCATATAGTAGCGGCACCTAAGCCAGCACCTGGGGGGTGAGGGAAGCTTTCCTAGAGCCAGTAACATCTATGCAGTCTGAGCCAGACAAAAGAAGAATAAGAGATGTTCTACGCTAAGGAAGTAACATCAATAAATGCCATGAGCCATAAATCATAGCTCCTTTAGAGATCTATATGTATTGATAATTAAGTATGGCTGCAGGGGATGTGGGAAAACTGAGGCTGGAGAGGGAAGCCAGGGTTAGATCACAAAAGGCTTTATATGTCATTCTAAGGTGATGGGAATTCATGGTATCAGTGATGGGGAGTCACTGAAAGTTTATACATAACATGGTCAGATTATGTTTTAGAAAGATTGGCATCAGCGTGGAGAATAGATTTCACCATCTAGCTACTTCCCTGAACCTGGCCCGCTTTCTTGCCTGCCCTGTCTTATCTTCCTTTGACTGTAAAGGGCCCAGTTGGACACCCCTTTCCCTATAAGTGTCCTTAAACAAAACTAATGATCAGAATCATTTTGAGACCTTACAAAAATACAAGTTATTTGGTCCCATTTCACAGAATCAAACTCTCACGGAGACAGAACCTGGGAATCTCTATTTTATAAAAACTGCCCAAAGGATCCTGGGGCAGTTGGACTATGGACAGAATTTGTGAACTAATGTAGACTGTCACTTATAATACAACAGAGATGTGTTGATAAACATTAGCAATGTGTATGGCTTACTGAATTAGATTGATGATGGCTGGAGTAGGTCTCACTCCTAATGTCTTCTTTCTACAGCATTAGAAGACCAAAACAACCAGCCCCTTACTTGGAACCTCAAGATCTTTCCCTTGTTTTTTGAATAACATGTCCAGACCTTCACATGACCTGTTAGGCAGCATGATTTGGCTCCGATGGCCACACCTCTCAAGCTACTCTTCCCTTTACCTTGTACTAATTATTAACTTGTTATAGAGAGGGGATGTTGATACATTTACTCGCCAGTTTCTACATTCTCAATTAAATTACAGATAGATATGGTGTGGGGAAACTTTGTGAAACAATAAAGATCTGGAAATTTTCTAAGGAGAATGGAAAATGATTTGATTTAGGATGAGAAAAGGACTGCTGCTCAACCTCAAAGACTCCCCTGAGTTAAAGATCATACATCCATATTCATAGGACAACTCTGTTATTTCCTCCTTGAGGAGCCAAGGAGCAGAGAAAATGGACAGTTTTGTCAATCAGCATGTGAGTACTAGCAAAGCGTAAAGTCAAGAAGTAAGAGAATAAGGGTGCTCAGGTAAAAGAAACAGAAAATTCCTGGGATGGGCCAAAAAGGAAGATTCAGTTAATTTGCTCCAAGCCACAAAGGATGAAAACCTGAGTACCCTTGTTTTGTCATACTATTCAGTCTGTTTGGTAATGATCCCCCATTTTATTTAATTCTGGTCTCTGGCTTCTCCACCAGTGGTTCCAACTCACATTCTGTTACGTTACCCTAGAGCACTGTGAATAACATACTGCAGCTGGAAGGTGCCAGTGGCAGTGTAAGTGACAAAATTTTCCAGGACATAAATGAAACTACCTAGGTAAGGTTACATCAAGGTAGTAAATGTTTTATAATAATTGTTTTCCTCCTAAGTTAGAGATATGACTTACAAACATGATTTTTATGGTGATAGCATATCCATACAATAGACTTTCTTTACTTAAATTGATTGCATTTCATAAAAGACTCGATATATATCAAAACACAACTATGTCCTTCACATGAAGCTATTAGAGTGTTTTAAATACAGTGGCCATTATATTTAAACATTCTGCTAATAAAAATTAATTATTTTTGTTTTTGAAAGATTTTAGATTATTTTTAATTAAACCAATGCCTTAAATTAATCCAGTTGGTTCAATTTTCGGGTTTATCATTTCTTTTCTCTTTCCAATGTAGAGTCATATCAATCAGGGAAACAGGAGCAGCTGCAATGAAGCAAGCTGTGTTGGAAGCCAATGGCTAAAATTAGATTATCAATGACATTTACTTATATGTTCACAGCTGAAATTTCAAGGGTAAAACATTTTCTCCTGAAACAAGACACTTCCCCATCACTGAAATGCAGACTTGTGTTATCAAATTATATCCATATTACATCACTGGGGGGTGAAACTGACCCAAAATAGAAAGTGAAACCATAGTCTTTTGTTCTGCTAAAGACAAAATTAAGTAATGGAATTGTTTTTATAAGATTATTTTGACTGGTGCCTTCTTAATTAGGGGGAGATTTTTATCTAGAGAAGTAGTATTCCCAAGGAGGAAGGAAGTGTATAATGTATCTAGCATGAGGGCAGAGAAAGGTGGTCTAGGCTTTACCCCACCCACCCTAAACTACTCTATAATGCAAATCTTCAGAGACCAAGGCAGTTTAGATTTTGTGAACGTTGCTCCCTTTTCTGTTTTTTGTGTACACTTGTACAGTTTAGCAGTTCTTCCAGATGCCACTTTCCATTTCTCTTTTGGAAAATCCACAGAGTGTGTGCATGTACTTACATAATTAGTGGAAACATGTACATATTACATCAGTCATTTCCAAACATGCTGTAGTCCCTTCCCTTCACTCCTACGTGAATTACAAGGGGCACCTCAGAGGAGAACACCTCTTCCCAAAGCACTACTGTGCAGTGCAGCCGTTCACTCCCATTGCTGGTCAGGAGTGTCCATTGCTATGCAGTGCAAACATCCACACTGGGATGCACTACTCTGGAAAGCCGTCCTGCTTCTCCTGGCCCAGCACCACCAGCCCACTCTTCCTAATGAGGCTCTGGAGGATGTCCATATCCCAAGTCACACAGATGGAAGATGTCAGAAAGATGGAAGATGCAGCCCTCCTGAGCCACACTGTCCTTCAGTATGATGATGCCGTTTTCTTTCAGGCCATCTTGGCACCGGGAAAGAAATGCAAGAAGGTCTTTAATGGTCAGGTACCCTACAGGTGAGGCCAAGTAAAAGGGGAACAGGATGAAAGGGTGGGTGGGAAAGAGGGACCGACCACAAGGCTACAAATCAGGAGCTCATTTGTTCACTCATTCAAGAATTATTTAATAGCCTGAATTGTTTTGCTGCAGGAGGCTTTGAGAATTTAGATAAGAGAACAGGTATCTTCTTTGAGGTGAATCAGTGTACACTCTATAAAATAGATATTATCCTACCTAGTCTATCTACCTCCCAGGCACAAGATAAACTATTGCTCATCCCTTGGGTTCCCTCCATGTCCCCTGGACAGCCCAACTCTGTCATCATTCCTCTGTGTCTCACACATACACACACTCAGACCAAAATCCAATTCACCGCTGTCTCATTTCCTGGGAATTTAAATCTAAGAAAGTCTAGTTTTTCCAGTAAATGGGGATAGACTCTTTTTGTCCCCACTTTTTAAAGTTTTTCAAATATTTAGGTTTCTTCTATGATTTAGGTTGGTCCAAAGGCACTCCATCCCTAAGGATGGGAATTGTCAAGCTTGTTCAGAGGATGTTATGGGAGAAATCTGGAGGACCAGAGCTTTGGGGGAGTTCCCATGATACCTAAGGCTAGCTAACTGTTCTAAGCACAACTATAGCCAGATCTCCCTTTGTGTCCTTGTTCCACCTCCACAAATCCTCCAATCAGCCCCATGTGTTTTCTTCTTCTCTATATGGAAAGGGGAGAATGGCAGATGCAATGCCATGCAGGACTAACCAGAGACCCACTGAATCCAGATGACATCGTATCTCCCCAGTGGGGGTGTGAATTCCTTCAGACTGGAGCAGTGGTAGCTTTCTACCTTGTCCCCTCTGACCTGCAGGTAGTTCTGTGCCTCGAGGAGGAACGATTCCATCATGTCCACCAGTTCCACAGTGTTGAAAACCAGCAACAGGACATGCTTGCTGACCCTTCCTATCCCAGAGCTGCAATCCAGGGCACAGTCTGTCCCAGCTCTCCCAGGTCCCTGAAGAAAGGTACCTTGTGGAATACTTCAGGAACAGACACTCACCCTGAGTTTGGACACTCAATTACCTCTGTAAATAAACTTTATTTGGGTCAATTTCATATAATTAAATGTACTACTTTAAGTATACCATTCAATGAGTTTGGACAAATGTATACAGGCACGTAAACACTACCACAATCAAGTTATAAAATATTCAATGACTTTTTTCAAAAAAAAAATCCAAACATGTCTAGTTTTTGCCTTCTTTATTTTATTCAAATATAAGTCTTTCAAAGAATTTCAAAATAGGATTTTAGAAAATAATGTCTTAAGTTTGAAAACTGGGTAATTTTCTCTAAGATAAATGGGCCTTTGAAAGCCCTATGAAAATAGAACTTTGTTAACTGTAAATTTGGGTCAAACCCACAGCTAAATGGACCTGCACCCGTAGCTTATTGCCTTGTTAAAAAAAGAGAGAGCAAAGCAGTGAGAGTCTTTCAGAGTTTTGAAATTACTTTTCAAATTCATGCAATGAAAACATTTCAATTCATACTGGGATGGATAACTGAAATTTTATTTTTTTCAGAACTGATTTTGGGGGCTCTGAATTATCTACTATTCTTGTGTGGAAGATAATTTTTAAGACTTGAGCTGAGGAAATGCAAACTGCTCCATTCTCAGGCCAGGATTTTACTTCAAACTCAGCCTCAGTGACACACAGCACATTCATGAGGATAAAAGGTGGTTGCAGCAAAGTCCCCTTGTCTCTTTTCATGCTAAAAATTATTTTCTGCTTTTATACCAGAAGCTACATGATTTATTGGGCACAAAAGCCCTGAAATTTTTTTAAAGTAAATCTCTGCATTAAATTAACTGAGGGTGAAAGATGAATAGGGGGTAGAGATAGGAGGAAATCAGCCAATAAAAACTTTCTCAAACTTGCTTCTATAAAGTAATATACACATATACATATATACATATATGTATGTGTACATGACCAGTATATATCTATGATATGTATATGTGTATATATGTGTATGTGCATATATACATATATATATGTGTGTATGTGTGTATATATATATATATATATATATATATATATATAAGATTCAGCTGGTCTAAATTATTTGGTCACAGTTGGGATGGCTGCTGAATAGGTTTTATGCTAGAAATTACAGTAACAAGATACTTGAAGTTGTCAATCAAGATCTTAAGGAGAAAGTCTACTCTTGATTTCTCAGGACCTAAGGGTTTAAAAAAAAAAAATTGGCTAAGGATCAAAAGGTGAAGTTTAAGCAGAAGGAAACATCAGAAACGCTGCTTTCCAGTCCACTCAAAAGGCCTTCCTTACAGCAAGAACAAAGAAGAACAAAAAGTGAAGTAATTGTAGTTTCTTTTCAGAGGAAATAATAATAATCACGATTTATTGACTGCTTGTGTGTAGCAAGCTCTTTGCATCCATAATAACTATAGTAATCAAAAAGCCTCACAAGATAATGATTATTCTCCAATTTGGAGATGAGACCCTTAGACTTTTTTAATATCATCCAGCTAATGGCAGAACTAGAATTTGAACAGTGAACTGTGTGAATCCAAAGCCAGTTCTACCTTAGGGCTGTCACCTCGAGTGCCACAACTCTGATTCCCTTGTTAGTAGCTGTCAATTGTTATGTTGAAGAGAATTCTAAGGCTTCATTCAGACTTATCAGGAAGAGGTCTATGATTGATTAGTTATGTCTGCCTTGAGTATGGGAATGGGAAGTGGTAGTACATGTGCCACTTGTTTGCCATTCCTACTTACAATATGATACATCCCTCATTCAGATATTATAATTTAAACTAAGCTAATTCATTAAAAGGCCTAGGCTAAAGTTTTATGTTATGAAGGCCATAAAAGTAGCATCATTTAAATAAATTTATAACATAAACAAGATGGAGGGAAATACAGGGAAATTATTTTAAGCTACTGAAAATGACTTTAGTTGAAATCTGTGTGCTCAACTAGAGATTCTCATTATAATTTTTTATTATCATTATTTGGCCCTAAAGCCTCTACTGATCATGTTGCTCACATTATTATAGCAAGTGGTTTTAAAAATTGAACCATGGGACAATAAAAGAGAGAACAGAGATCTATGCCAGAGGATTTCAAGAAGGTTATAACAGCTTAACTCCTTTTTCTCAATGAACAAATAACTATGAAGCTGTTCTGGTTAAAGTGAGGCAGGGCCTCACCCACTCAGCCTTTCTATCATTCTCCCAATAAGCCCTTGAAGGATATCAGCACAACCCTGGAGTTTTAAAACCATTCATGCCTAATCTCCCTACTTTTTCAGACAAAGAAACTGAGGCCCAAAGAGGTGAAATATTTGCAATAGAACTTCCTTGAAAATGCACATCCTCTGATGTGTATTTTTCACCAACTTAGATGTGTGATAGCTGACTGCAGTAATCCTTGAAACAAGTTATTTACAAATACAAAAGATGCCTTTCACTCAAATCCTGAGCACCTTAGCCCTTCGCCACTACTGCCTAGTTCTCTTTATTGCATATCACTCCACATGGTTGGCACTACCTCTCATATCCTGGCACCACATTTATTCCTCTGTCTCTCATTCACATGCAGCACCTCTGAGAAGGGACATTTAAAGGCTGATCCTGGGAACAACATCTCTAGCCTCTTGGATACCATGGCTGCCCACTACTGTGATTGGATTGAAATTTGATGCTCTTCCATGAATGTGACCAGAACTACATACAATGTGTGATTTCAAAACGAGATGTTTTGTTATTTTCATTTATTATCCTATCTTCATATTTATGGATTCATATAAAATAGTGAAATATTCTTAGAAATTTCATTTTCATTTTGATTCTGCCTATGTATTTTGTTTTGAAGAATATTATTTTACCTTCTTTCCATTGGAGTTTAAAACTAAAACGAGGGCTTCCCTGGTGGCGCAGTGGTTGAGAGTCCGCCTGCCAATGCAGGGGACACGGGTTCATGCCCCGGTCCTGGAAGATCCCACATGCCGCGGAGCAGCTGGGCCCATGAGCCATGGCTGCTGAGCCTGCGCGTCCGGAGCCTGTGCTCCGCAATGGGAGAGGCCACAACAGTGAGAGGACCGCGTACCGCAAAAAAAAAAACTAAAATGAAAGTGCTAAATGCCACTTTAGGAAAACCATGAAATACAAGTTAGCCCCAAATTTTTTAGTCATCCAATCTCTGAGAAATGTCAAGAGATAAATATCATCAAATACCAATTACTTTTTATAAATTTCTACTTTCCCCAATAGAAAGCTAGAAGTAAGGAATGTTATCAGCTATGCTGTTGACATCATCTTGGTATCATTTGTTTATTTGCTAAAGTAAGCACATTTGCAACAAGTTTAAACACCTTTTCCCACTGTCTCATGTCACTAAGTGTTGAAAGGAAAGAAAAACTTTAAATTAAACAATCTGTCTTTTCCCAGTTGACACAAGGATAAATCATGTCAGATACTCATATTCCCTAACTCCTTGTATCTTGACCTGGATACTAATTTAGCATATTATTAAGGTCAAAGTACCAAAATATCATTTCTTTAAAAAGACTGTGTTTGTACTTAGTTAGAGGTCGCAGCTTCACAATGAGCCTAGTCTACTAAGAAGGACTCCTTATATTTGTTTGAAAAGAGCAGGCTGCTCTTTTCCAACATAAATATGCAAGCACAAGGCTGTTTCCTTTCCCGGGTCCATGGGCGTGTGTATGGGCTCTGTCTGACCAGCATCCCTGTGGTCAGCTTGGCATTCCACATGGAGTGACAAGACAGCTGGATTACTAACTAAGCTTCTGAAATGCATTGGGATCAAAGTCAGCCTCACCATGAGGCAAGCAGGAGGGATTGCTCTTGGCCAGACTGGAGGAGAGTTGAGGTCTGTGGTACACACACACACACACACACACACCACACCACACACACACCACACACACACACACACCACACACACACACACCACACACACGCACACACACCACACACATACACCACACGCACACACACACCACACACACGCACACACACCACACACATACACCACACGCACACACACACCACACACACGCACACACACCACACACATACACCACACGCACACACACACCACACACACGCACACACACCACACACATACACCACACGCACACACACACCACACACACGCACACACACCACACACATACACCACACGCACACACACACCACACACACGCACACACACCACACACATACACCACACGCACACACACACCACACACACGCACACACACCACACACATACACCACACGCACACACACACCACACACACGCACACACACCACACACATACACCACACGCACACACACACCACACACACGCACACACACCACACACATACACCACACGCACACACACACCACACACACGCACACACACCACACACATACACCACACGCACACACACACCACACACACGCACACACACCACACACATACACCACACGCACACACACACCACACACACGCACACACACCACACACATACACCACACGCACACACACACCACACACACGCACACACACCACACACATACACCACACGCACACACACACCACACACACGCACACACACCACACACATACACCACACGCACACACACACCACACACACGCACACACACCACACACATACACCACACGCACACACACACCACACACACGCACACACACCACACACATACACCACACGCACACACACACCACACACACGCACACACACCACACACATACACCACACGCACACACACACCACACACACGCACACACACCACACACATACACCACACGCACACACACACCACACACACGCACACACACCACACACATACACCACACGCACACACACACCACACACACGCACACACACCACACACATACACCACACGCACACACACACCACACACACGCACACACACCACACACATACACCACACGCACACACACACCACACACACGCACACACACCACACACATACACCACACGCACACACACACCACACACACGCACACACACCACACACATACACCACACGCACACACACACCACACACACGCACACACACCACACACATACACCACACGCACACACACACCACACACACGCACACACACCACACACATACACCACACGCACACACACACCACACACACGCACACACACCACACACATACACCACACGCACACACACACCACACACACGCACACACACCACACACATACACCACACGCACACACACACCACACACACGCACACACACCACACACATACACCACACGCACACACACACCACACACACGCACACACACCACACACATACACCACACGCACACACACACCACACACACGCACACACACCACACACATACACCACACGCACACACACACCACACACACGCACACACACCACACACATACACCACACGCACACACACACCACACACACGCACACACACCACACACATACACCACACGCACACACACACCACACACACGCACACACACCACACACATACACCACACGCACACACACACCACACACACGCACACACACCACACACATACACCACACGCACACACACACCACACACACGCACACACACCACACACATACACCACACGCACACACACACCACACACACGCACACACACCACACACATACACCACACGCACACACACACCACACACACGCACACACACCACACACATACACCACACGCACACACACACCACACACACGCACACACACCACACACATACACCACACGCACACACACACCACACACACGCACACACACCACACACATACACCACACGCACACACACACCACACACACGCACACACACCACACACATACACCACACGCACACACACACCACACACACGCACACACACCACACACATACACCACACGCACACACACACCACACACACGCACACACACCACACACATACACCACACGCACACACACACCACACACACGCACACACACCACACACATACACCACACGCACACACACACCACACACACGCACACACACCACACACATACACCACACGCACACACACACCACACACACGCACACACACCACACACATACACCACACGCACACACACACCACACACACGCACACACACCACACACACACGCACACACACCACCCACACACGCACACACACACACCACACACACACCACACACATGCACACACACACACCACACACACACACCACACACACACACGCACACACACACACGCACACACCACACACACACAAACCACACACACACACCACACACACACGCACACACACACGCACACGCGCACACACAGCAGGGATTCTTCTGCTTCATGAGACAAATGGAAAAAATATGTCGTGGATAAGAGCAGGGAGTTTGGTGTCAGACAGACCTTGCCAGGTGTCAGTCCTAGCTCTGTCTCTTACCAACTGTGTAACCTTAAAAACTTACTTAACCTCTCCAAGCCTCAGTTTCCACAACTGTGAAAACAAGAAACGATACTAGTACTTACCTCACAGAATTATTATGAAGAGTAAATAAGACAGTGCTTCTAAAGTGCTTATCAGAGTGACTATCTCAGAAAAAGTGCTCAGTGAAATCAGTCAGCAACACTCATTTAAAAATATTCCAGGTTAACCTGACCTAGAAATAGACCCAGCCAACATCCCTAGCTCCATAGTCCTTTATGGCCACAGCTGATGTCCACTTTGGCCCAATGGATGCTCCACCATTATCCTTTTCTTTATACTCAGGCAAAGGGTGCTCTAGGGAAGTTGGATGTGAAGTGAACCTCACCTCAACACTAGGGATATTATTAATGTTATGCTTCTAAATAGGTTGACAACATAACCCCAAATATTCATAATATTCTTAATGTTTCCTTCATTAGAATAAAATGGACTCCAGATTTCAAACGAATGACTTCATAGTGAATTGGAACAAAACCTATTTACTGGGTAGGACTTTGTTCTCAGTAGAACCAACAATAGCTTTATTGTGTGGGTTAAGTCTATTCTGACGACTGAATGAAGCTCCTTAAAATATAATGAATGCATTTTATGAAAGCTTGTTATTAGTAGTAGTAGCAATAAATTAGATTTATTGGGCAATAATTATGTGCACTAAAGTAAGCACTTGACTTATATTATCTCATTTGAGCTTCACATTATCCTATGAGGTGAGTTCTGTGGTTATGCCCTAGTCACAGGTGAAAAATTGAGGTTTAAGAGCATTTAAGGAATAAGCCCAAGGTTGCTTATACAGTAAGAAGAACTGTAATGACTCTAGAGCCCAAGATTTTGGCCCCTACAGTATATGATCCATCTTCATATGGCGTGGAAGTAAGGAAGTGGAGTTTCACCCAACACCAAGTCTACAAAGGGATCACATTCTTTCAAGGCAATGTCTCAACTACGTATAGAATAATATAAAGAGATTCTACTATACTTACCACTTTTAGACTGAACATAAGCTTCCATTTCCTTACAACATTGCATTTTTATTACAGGGACTCAAAAAATCATCCCAAAATCCAAAATGGCATGATCTCTCATCAATCATCTGGGTATCAACAGTTTATCTATGAAACTCTAAAAGAGAAGTCTTCTTAATCCACTAATTGTAATATTAACATTGCTAGTTCACCTTCCCCTGTAGCATAAGAAATTAGCTGGTGCTAGGAGGGTGAAATGCCAAGTGGGACAAACCAGTCATTTAATGTGACCTATCCTTTCTGAACATCTTAAAACAGGCTTTCACACTAAACTCTTGGCTGAGCCATATGGCTTTAATATGACTTAAGCAACAACACAGAAGCATGTGAGCTCAATGTTTGCAAGGACTTTGCCTCCTCATCAAACTGCAGTTGGATAACTCACCCCAACAAATTTCCTAAGAAATTCCCGAGAGGCCTGGATATCTGGGTTGGACAGTTCGGTGAAATTTCCCATCATACCCTCTTCTGTAGCTGGTACTTCTTGGTAGAAGAGTTTAGCTCTGGCATAGAACTGCATCTCACCATTGATGACTTGACTTGTTAAAGCATACAATTTCACTGCAAATGAAATATTATTAATATTTATCAGTATTTAAATGGCAGAACAAGTTTATTCTTATCATGCATTGAATTTCCTCTTAGAAGCCTGCAAATTTGTGCTGTGGGAGAAAGGGTATTAGTTTGATGTCAGAAGATCTGGGTTTGAGTTCTGGCTCAGTGACTTACTTGCTATGTAACCTTGGGTAAAGTTCTTAACTCCTATGATCTTCAGGTATCTCATGCATAAATCACAATCATGTGGCATTTTCATGATTTAATAACACTAGAGTTTAATTTTAAAAATAGCTTGTCACTGTATTTAAAAAAAAGCTGAACAGTGTTTGCTACAGTAGAATAAATAATATCGCAAGTTTCAAAGTAACTTTTACCTTTGACCTCCAAATATTTTATGAGAATTTAATCACTAATCTTTACTTCTAATCACGAGGTAGATTAGGCATAGCTATTTTTTCATCTCTTTATTTTTGTGCAACTCATACCCAAATATCTCTTTGTACCAACATTACAGAAAATGTACTTGAGCTATATCTTCTGAAAATAAAATAATAAAAAGAAATATAATATTTATTGAGCAACTATTCTGTACCAGGTAGTGTACTAGGCATATTCACATATACTATGTTATTTCATTATTTCAGGTATTTTAAGACATTTATTTTTAGAAAAACATGTGTTCTACTTCTGAGGGGTAAATGAGTATGCATTTAAGTGTGTTTTTTAAACCAAAAGGCACACTTGCAGATATAAAGTATTTTCATTAGAGGATATTCAGAAGGAAATGATAGAAAGTGAGATAAAAGGGAGAAACTTATGGTTCAAGATTGTAGGCTGAATATATGCATTTGTCCTCCCTGCTCCCCAGTACTCCCCAAGAATCATTTTAATAAACTCAACCCTTAACAGTGAAGAAAATGAGAAGGGGCCACCAATGGATTCATGATTTCAAAAAATTTCTGGAAGACAAAAAACAGATAAAGCAGATGGAACAGAGCTAAAGAATTTACAGCGGGCTTCCCTGGTGGCGCAGTGGTTGAGAGTCTGCCTGCCGATGCAGGGGACACGGGTTCATGCCCCGGTCCGGGAATATCCCACATGCCGTGGAGCGGCTAGGCCCGTGAGCCATGGCCACTGAGCCTGCGCATCTGGAGCCTGTGCTCCGCAACGGGAGAGGCCACAACAGTGAGAGGCCCGCGTACCGCAAAAAAAAAAAAAAAGTTACAGCTCAGGATAGTTGCAAAAGGAAGTAAGAGTGAATAAAACAAAAAAATCTGTCTACAGGCCAACTAGTGAGGTGACCAATGCACTCCCCACAAAAGTGACAAGCAGCACAGCTATAATCCTAGGGAGGGTAAATATGTCTCTTCTCTAAAAAAAAGGAAAAAAAATTAATTAAGTGCCTTAGGAGAAAAAGACCAGTTAGTGTTGGAATCCTAGAACACTACTCATTCTGGCATATAGAGGATTCCAAGTACCTCATTTCCTCATACTCAGAGTCTGGCAAGATCTACCGGCAAATGTAGAGCTTCTTGTCATCCTTTCTATTCAGCGGAGAAGTATATAACAGAGGAAACCTTCTCCATTACCCAAAATCATTGCCCCCGTCCTTCATTTCTAACTATGGATAAACAATGATTTCCAAACACATGAGGGTAAAATGGCAGTCTGAAAAACAAAGATACAGATAGACAATCAAAACTGACACCAAAGGAAACAGAAATAATCCAGGAAATGAATGAGAATTTAAACCAAAACTAAACAAAAACTTACACCCTTGAAGAGGTATGAGAACAGGTGCATCCATAAATCGAAGATGTCAAGAAAATGATAATTTAAAGAATAATAAAGAATTCTTAGAAATTAAAATTTTGATTACCAAACAATTTGGAATATAACATTGAGTAAATTATCAGGACATAAAGGAAAAGATTGATATGGAAAACAGAAGTACAAAGATTAGAGCTATAAAGACTTAATTCATGTACTTCCCTGGTGGCGCAGTGGTTAAGAATCTGTCTGCCAATGCAGGGGACATGGGTTTGAGCCCGTCCGGGAAGATCCCACATGCCGTGGAGCAACTAAGCCTGTGTGCCACAACTACTGAGCCCGCGCACCACAGCTACTGAAGCCTGCGCACCTAGAGCCTGTGCTCCGCAATAAGAGAAGCCACCACAATGAGAAGCGTGCGCACCGCAACAAAGAGTAGCCCCCGCTAGCCACAACTAGAGAAAGCCCACATGCAGCAATGAAAACCCAGCGCAGTCAAAAATATATAAATAAATAAATAAATAAAAGTTGTATGAGTTGAAAATGCTAAGTACATTCCATCAGTGCTCAGAATTCTATGAAAAGAATGAGCTAGAATCAAAAAGAAAATTTTAAAAATATTTTTTAAAAAAGACAATTCAGAAGACCCAACATCAAGCTAATCAGGAAATGGAGGGAAGAAAATTATTACAGAAATAATAGAAAACAATTTCCCAGAGCTGAAAGAGACTATAAGGTCCAAAAGTACTGAGCAGTATGCATTTAAAAATACTAATAATTAAATAAAAGTCACATTTATACATATCCTTAGGAAATTTCAAATCACAAAGAGTAATGAGAAGATCATTAAGTTATTTAGAGGGAAAAAGTTTGTTGACCTTCAAGTAGGGTTGCCAGATTTAGCAAATAAAAATACAGGACACACAATTAGTTTTGAATTTTAGATAATCAATGGATAATCTATTAGTATAAATACAGTTGAAATATCACACATTGCATGGGACATATTTATACTAAAATTTGTTCATTGATTATCTTAAGTTTAAATTTAGCTGGCCTTTTATATTTTATCTGGCAACCCTATGTTCAAAGAACTAGAATCAGGCATATAACACAGATCTCATCAGAAATCCTGGAAAACAGTGGAGCAGTGTCATCAATATTCTGAGGGAAAATTATTTTGAGGCTAAAATTTGTTACCATTCAAATGGTGAAAGAATATTTACCTCCCATGGATTCATCCTTCAGAAGTTTTTTGAAGCTATATTCCAGCCCAATGAGGGTTAAAATCAAGAGAAGATATACAATGAAAGACAATGAAATTAACCCAGGAATCCAATGAAAAGAAATCCCAAAATGACAGATACTATCAGATCTAGAAAGAAATCAGTTGATATTACAACAGAAAACATAGGCTTTAAAAAAATAACTTCAGGAAGTAGAATGAACTGGATTCTGGGTAATAGATAGTAGGTAAGAAGTAAGGTGACATAGTGATATTCTTAGGAAGACATATTTTTAACCTCCATCAACAAAAATAAAAGACAGTTGAAAGTTCTAAGTAAAATATACAACAGTATAAAAATGTTACAATCAGGATATGAAGCAAACCAAAATATGACATAATTTTATGTAGAAGGAGTATAAGAAAAGACAATCTATTTAACCTTAACTAGGAACATTTTTCTTCAGGTAAACAACGATTGTGACATTGGACTAATGCACTACTTGGCTTTGAATTGAACAATGGTCACATAATCCCAAATTTTGATTCTAAAAGTTAAAAATCCAATAAACACTACTACTATCCATTTTAGTATGCTTCATCTGTGGAGTTAAATCAGTATTTCCCAACTTGAAAACACTGGATGTGGCCAACATTTGGACCCTTGAATGATCATGAATTTGCTAAAAGGGGTACAGGAATCAGTTCCCATGTACTTTATTTTCTAGAGACTAACAATGTTATATACTATATCTCCCATATATATTAACCAACAATAGATTGTCATTTTAAAAATATAAATCTTTTAAAACTATTACTAATACATAGATTTTTTTTGACATTTTATACTCAAGTTAGTTACTGATTGAGAAAATAAAACATTAAAAGGAACATCCTCATGTTCAAAAACATTGGAAACCACTGACCTACACCAGTCCCCCTTCCCTAGTACTTGGTAAAGTGTTGTGTAAACAGGCAGCTCAAGAAAGGCTGATAATTTCAACAGGGACGACAAAAATTAATCATCGCCATGCCAAAAACATGACTGTTCCAAATTCTTCTGTATGTCTCAGAAAAGCAGGCTAGGAAATCACAGCTTACAAAGTCTTCCCAGAGTTGAATGCTTCTTGGGATCACAGGCAAGCCACAGCCCAGTACTCTCTCGTTGATCCAACCAAAGCAGCAAAACAGCCACACTCATCATCACCTGGTTATGTCAACAAGTTGGTGGAGTTTATTAAAACCCTTAATCTGGAAATGGGAATGGTCCATTATGCCAGCAACATTTAGACTACAAGTGAATGCCAAGCTCAGCAGGGGTCAGACTCAATAGGTAAGTTTTTATGGTTATGGGCCTGTCACCTAATTGACAGGAACATTTCACTAAAAAGATATATGAGGTGTAATGGCCAGCTCCAGGTTCTCCCTTCTTGATAGCTCCTGCAATGGTGCCAGTTGATTCAGATACGGTTATCAGTCATCAGCCTGTGCCTTTTTATTATAGAAATACATCTAGTGGCTTATTCTTGCATGATTGCAATGTTTTTGTGAAACTTGGGGTAGTCCAAGACAGCGGCTAGACACTCTATTAGTTCTTGATATAATATGGTACTTATTTCTTGAGCTATGTTATGAGCTGAACTCCCAAGGACCTTCCAACGGCTTACTTGTTACAAAAATAAAAATAAAGTATATGTGAATTTGCCCTGAAGAAGAACAAAGATCTCGTGAACTCTCTAAGAAAAATTTTGTTGAGAGATAAGTGTCTATGTTTGCTGAGTAGCTTTTTCTTTTTCTCTTTCTAATAGTTGGATATAACTATTTTAGACTTTATTCCAAACATTAGACCTGTTTGTCAACTGAAAATTGACCTGGGAGTCTTCAGAGGATATGTAGGCTAAATTTAAATGGTAAGTTTGGAATGATCGGAGACAGAATATTGAATCAAGTTAGTCTATAAGAGAAAAGAAAGTCTAACTAGAAGATGTCCTTATGAAGTGTAAGATCT